TTTTTTAAACTTCTGAGCTAAATGATCAAATAATCGATCAAAAGATTCACCTGCATTCCCTACGCCCACACATCGAATTCCGTACACGCCTAGATATTGAATACTTTTTCCACCGCCACCTCCTCCCCGCCTATTTCTTTGACCGGGAGTCTAACCTACCCTCTGCAGACCCCTCCTCCCACCTCTGACAAACCTCATCCTCCTGGACACCACCCCACAGCCTCCAACTTCCCTCAACCTCTTCATATCCAGCTGCTCTCTCAACATCAATCGCCTGAATCTCTCCACCCCTCTCTCTCACTCCAACTTCTCCCCAACAGAACGCACAGCCCTCCACTCCCTCTGCTCCAACCCCAACCACCCCATCAAACCTGCTGATAAGGGGTGTGCAATGGTGGTATGACGTACTGACCTCTACATCACTAAGGCCTGGCGCCAACTCTCTGACGCCAACTCCTACCGTCCACTCGATTATGACCCCACCTCTGATCACCAAACCATCATCTCCAAGACCATCAATAACCTTATTACCTCAGAAGACCTCCCAACCTCATCATTCCCCAACGCCACCCTGCTCATTTCTGTCTCCTCCTCAAAATCCACAAACCTGACATCCCGGGCCAACCCATTGTCTCTGCCTGCTCCTGCCCCACTGAACTCATCTCCACTGGCCTTGACTCTTGTTTTTACTTCCTGCTCCAGGAACTCTCCACATTCAGTACACTACCCATACCCAGTAGACTACTTACACCCTCCATCTCCAAGACTTTCAATTCCCTCAGCCCCAACACCTCATCTTCACCATGGATATCCAGTGTCTCTACGTCAGTACCTCCCATGAGGAGGGCCTAAAACCTCTCCACTGCTTCCTTTCCTGCAGTCCCAACCAGTCTCCCTCCACTGACACCCTCATCCACTTAACGGAACTTGTCCTTCCCCTCAACAACTTTTCTTTATCTCCTCCCACTTCCTACAAACCAAAGGGGTGGCTATGGGCACCCATATTGGTCCAAGCTATGCCTGCCTCTTTGTAGGATACGCTGAACAGCCCCTGTTCTGCAGTTACACTGGCACTATCCCTCCCCTCTTCCTCCGCTACATTGACTGTAACAGTGCTGCCTCATGCTCCCATGAAGAGCTTGAACAGTTCATCAACTTTACTAAGACCTCTCACCTCAACCTGAAATTCACCTGGACTGTCTCTGACACCTCCCTCCCCTTCCTGGACCTCTCAGTCTCTATCTCCGGTAACTGTCTCAGCACCGACATCTATTTCAAACCCACAGACTCCCATAGCTAGCTGGACTACACGTCCTCTTACCCACCCTCCTGCAGGAATGGTCCCATACTCTCAATTCCTCCGTTGCGTCTGCTCCCAAGATGGAGCATTCCACACCCGGACATCCCAGGTGTCCTCCTCTTTCAAGAACCGTAACCTCGCCCTCCCCATCGCCTCCAGTGATTCATAATGTCCTCAACCGAATCTCTTGTATTTCCTGCACTTCTGCTCTCAAACACCCTCCCCCCAACAAAAATAAGGACAGAGTCCCCGTGGTCCTCACATACCACTCCACCAACCTCCGCATCCAGCTCATCATCTCTGCCACTTAGGCGACCTACAATCCAACCCCACCACCAAAGAGATATTTCCCACCCAACCCCTATCTGCCTTCCGTAGGGACCATTCATTCTGCGATTCCCTTGTCCGCTCCACTTTCCCCACCAACCCCACCACACCCAACACCTTTCCTGCAACAGCAGCAGGTGCTACACCTACCCCTATACCTCCCCTCTCACTTCTGTCCAATGCCCCAAACAATCTTTCCAAATCGGACAGGGATTGACCTGTACAAGCTCCAACCTGGTCTACTCTATCAGTCGCTCCCGGTGTGGCCTCCTCTACATCGGTGAGACCAAGCACAGACTCGGTGATCGATTCACGGAGCATCTGCGCTCTATGTTATAATTAACAGCACCTTCTGGTCGCTATCCGTTTTAACTCCCCCCTCCCACTCCCTTGGTGACATATCCATCCTGGGCCGCCTCCAGTGCCACAGTGATGCCACATGCAATCCGGAGGAACAACACCTCATATTCCACCTCGGGAGCTTACAGCCTGATGGCCTCAACATAGAATTCACCAGTTTCAAAATCTCCCCACCCCCGGCCTCATTCCATGTCCAACCCTCCCTCTCATCCTCGCCTCCTTGACCTGACACAACCTGTCCACCGTCTTTCTCACCCATCCACCCCACCCTTTCCATGACCTATCTCCACAACTCCCTACCTGCACCCACCTATTACCCCACTACTCTTCCCCCAGCCCCAACCCCTCGCTGTGTTTATTTCCGAGACCCCTTCCCCCTCCCCAATCCTGATGAAGGGTGTAAACTCGAAACATCAACTTTCCTGCCCCTCTGATGCTGCCTGTCCTGCTGTGTTGCTCCAGTTCCATACTATTGACCCCGACCAGATAATCAGTTTTCTTAGTTATGATCATGTAACATTAAACCATTCGACCCCTCAAGCCTACTGCATCATTCAGTAGGATCATGTTGATCGAAAACTCCTCACATCCACTTGCCTGCTGTTTCCCATAGCTTTTGATTCCCCGACTGATCAAGAATCTGTCCATCTCGGCCTTAAATATACAGAAGGATTCTGCCCTCACAGTTCTCTGTAGCAATGAGCTCCAAAGATACTCAATCCACTGAGAGAAGAAATTCCTCATCATCTCAGTCTTAAATTAGCATTCCTTAATTCTGAGACTATACTCTCTGGCCCGAGACTCTCCAATGAGAGGAAACATGCTGCCAGCTTTTAGCGTGCCAAGTCCATTTAGAATCCTGTGTGTTTCTGAACTCCAGTGCATAGAGTCCCAACCTGTTTAGCTTTTTTTCATAAGAAAATCCCTCCGTAACAGGAATCACCCTTGTGAACCTTTTCTGAACTGCCTCCAATGAAATGGTATCTTTCCTTTAAAAAAAAAAGGACCAAAACTGCTCTCAATAGTCCAGATGTGGTCTCACTAGCGCTTTGTACATTTGCAGTAAAACTTCCCTGCTCTTATACTCCAACTGCCGTAAAATAAGGGCTACCATTCCAGAGTTCTGAGGAAGGGTCACCGGACCTGAAACGTTAATTCTGTTTTTCCCTTCACAGATGCTGCCAGACCTGCCGAGCTTTTCCAGCAACTTTATTTTTGTTCCAACATTCCGTTGGCCTTCCTGATGACCTGCTGCACCTGTGTGCTAGCTTCCTGTGTTTCATGCATGTGTCTCCAACTCCCTTTTGTGTTGTAGCTTTTTGCAGTTTTTCTCCTTTTAAATAATATTGTGTTCATTTGTTCTCCCTTTCAAAATGAACAACTTATTTTCCCATGATATAGTCCATTGGCTAACTTTTTTACCCACTTAGTTAATTTATCAATATATCTCTGTAAACTGTTTATATTCCCCTCAAACCTAGTTTTCCACCTATTTTAGTGTCATCTGCAAATTTGGCTACAGTTCACCTGCTTCCTTCTAAGTCATTCATGTTTGTTGTAAACACCTGCAGAACTCACTGGTCACAGGTTGCCAACTTGAAAAAGAACCCCTTATCCCCACTCACTGTTTCCTACCCTTGAGCCAATTCTCTATCCATGCCAATATACTAGCTCCAACACCATGGGCTGTTATGACATGACATCGTACTTTGTGAAGTGCCTTTTCGAGTGCATCTGGAAGTCCAAATACAAGACATCGACTGGTTGAGGCTTCATTGAAAAACTCTGAATTAGTCAGACACATTTTCCCGTTCATGTACGTTGCTTGAGTAATAAATATACCTGGACACCAAGAGAACTCCCCTTTGCCTCTTCTACTTGAAGAAAGTGTATTTGTGGAAACTGGGGGCAATCAGGACTTTACTGTGAATAGCTTGCTAGCAGTTACTCCCCGAGACTGGGGTAAATTATCAAACGTTGACTAATTTCAGGAAATAACCTATGCAAATCCTATTTTTTAATTTCTGCCATAACATACAGTATCTGTATTTGTAGAGGCACTGGCTGCATGGATCATTGCAGATTCTAATTGTCCACACACCTTTAAGCACTATTCTGGCTAATGTTTGCTCACAAGCTTTTATTGTGTGTAGTGCTTTAGTTCCTTTTCCTCTTTTACAAAAATGAAAGCTTATCGATGAAAAGTGACAGTGCAACATCTGTTCTGTGTGTCTGTCACTGGACAGTGTTAAATAGGACCAGGAGAGCCCATTCATCCCCTTATGTTCAAAAGCAAAATGACATGATGCTGGAAATCTGAAATGAAAACAAAACTAGAAATACTGAGCAAGTTTAGAAGCATGTGTAGAGAGAAAGAAACAGAATTAATGGTTCAGGTCAAGGACCTTCCTTCAGAACAAAAAGATGTTAGTGTTAAAATGTTTATAAGCAAGTGAGGAGGAGGGGATGGTGTAAAAGAACAAAAGGGAAGGTCTGTGAAAAAGCCAAACCCAATTTTGAGTTTAGAAGGCTGATTTTTGATTGTAAAATGAGGTGCATCTCCTTGAACTCAAGTTCAGTTTCATCAAAACAGTGCAGCAGGCCAAAAGCAGACTAGTTTATGAGTGAGAATCCAGCAGTGTTCGTGATTAGTTTCACAATACTCCATTCTTAACAACTAATTGGGAGAGCATAACCTTTAGATTTCACTTGAAATGTTTGCAGCTTTGCAGCAGAAGTCCCATTATTAGAATTTGTACCTCTGATGTGCATCCATTGGCTCTCTCAGGGTGCCCAGTCATGACCTTTAGGTAAGTTTCTGGTCCTCTCTCAGAACCATTTGAGTGGCACAGAGCAGAATCTTGTGCCCAACATTTCAGTACAGCCTGGCAAGATTATGGTCAGGATAATGCACAGTCAAAAGCTACATAAACTTTAGCACCTGGATTGTAGTGTTTGACTTTTCAGTCAGGCTGTGTGGTTACCCATTAACAGGTTCTCTTTTTCCTTTCAGCTAATGCTCAGCCTGGGACCGAGATATTTAACTTGCCTGCTGTCACGTCATCAGGTAAGGTCAGATTTAAAGTAAGAAATAGGGGCAGGATTTAGCCATTTGGTCCTTTTCAGCCTGCCCCACCATTCTTCCTAGTTTCCATCTTTCTGAACTATCCCCATATCCCTGAATTTCCTTAATATTCACCAATTTCTCAGTTCCCTGGGGTAGAGAATTCCAAAGATTCACGAAGCTCTGCGTTGGGAAGCCTCTCATCTCAATCCTAAATGGTTCAACCCTTATGGAGATTGTGACCCCAAACTCTAAACATCCTAGCCAGGAGAAGCATCCTCCAAATCTTCTCATCCCAGGAGTCCGTCTCGTGAACCTTAGTTGCGCTCCATCTGAGACATCTGTAAGCCTTCCTTAGATGAGGAGACCAAAACTGTACACACAACTTGTGACCTCGTGAAGGTCCTACTTAATTTTACTAAGCCTGTTTAGCTGTTATAATCCCTTCTTAACATATACAAAAAACACCTGAAAGAGCACAGATGCTGGAAATCTGAAACAGAAACAGAAACAAAAACAGAAATGGCTGGAAAATTTCACCAGGTCAGGCAGCATCTGTGGAGAGAAATCAAAGTTAACATTCGGGTCCAGTGACCCTCCTTCAGAATCAAAGGGTTACTGGGCCCAAAACATTAATTCTGATTTCTCTCCACAGATGCGACCAGACCTGCTGAGATTTTCCAGCAATTTCTGCTTTCATTCCACTATAATGTAGGCGGATCTGCTATTTGCTTTTGTAACTACTTGCTGGACTTGCATATTAACTTTCCAAGAGTCCTTGACAAGGATTCCAATTCCTCTGACCAGCAACATTTCCCAATTTCGCACCAATTAGTAAATATCTGCATTTGTATTTTTCCTACTAAAGTATATAACTTCATATTCCACCTGCCATCTTCTTTCCCACTCATTCAAATCGACAGTATCAATCTTCGTGTTGATCGTCTTTCTCACAGCTTGCTTTCTCACCTAGCTTTATATTGTCAGCAAACTTGAACCCGGTGTACTCAGTCTGCTCATCTAAGTCAATTTAGATTGTAAGTAATTGAGGCCTCAACACTGATAACATCCTACTAACCCAAAGTTGACTATCGTGTTCATACTTTTCTTTCTTTCTATTAACTAACATTCTCAAACGCTAAAATATTATTCTCAATCCCATGAGCCCTCCTTTTGTGAAACAACCTCCAATGTGATACAAATGGTTTAATGTGAAACACTGTAGTGAGCAGCAGTTCCTTTAGGACAGCTAAGCCCAGTGAGCATCCTCGTTTATACATCAGTTGTAGTCCAAGTTTCAATATAAAATGTTTCCTGCAGAAATGCAGCCTGTGAAACTTGAAGCTTTGCAAGAGTTTTGATGACAATTTCACATTGCAGGTACCACTACGAGTTCAGTGCCAGACAGGCTATTGGGAGAGATATAATGAGAACACTGAGACAGCCTCCACATCACAAGCTCAAATACCTCTGTATCTTGGATTCCTCACCCTTCACGACCAGTCAAAAAATAAGCCCATTCCGAATCTTGTCTAAATTACTATTTCCAAATGATTCCTTGTGATCATCCAGTACTCAGCAATACTTTATTGTAACTTTATTTGTTCATGAGATTGTGTATCCTTGAATAGGTTCTTAGAAAGTGGTTGTGAACTGCAGCCTTGACCTTCTGCAGCCCATGTATAGTTGGTACACCACAGCACTGTTAGGGGAGTTCCAGGATTTTCACCCAGTAACAGTGAAGGGCTGGAGACCTCTTCCCAAGTCAGGATGGTTCGTGGCTGGGAGCGGAACTAACAAGTGGTGGTGTTCACATACATCTTTACCCTCCAGGTGTTAGAGGTTGTAGCTTTGGAAGGTGCTGTCAAAGGAACCTGGACAGTTTTCTCCAGTGAATCTTGTTTTCAGTGATACTCTGATTAATTAAGCTTAGCAAATCCCTTTCATCCATTACCTCTACGTACCCCAACCAACACGTCAGTTTTAGAGTTCTCAACCTTGTTTACAAATCCCTCCGAGATTCTACGCTTCTCTGTTTCTGGTGTTCCAAAATTTTAATTGCTCCACCGTTGGTGGCTGTGACTTTAACTATCTGGCACTCTGGAATTCCCTCCCTAACACTGTCTACCTTTGTCTTCCTTTGGGATGCTTCTCCAAGCCTACCTCATTGACCAAGCTTTTGGCAATCTGGCTAATGTTGCTTTACATGCCTCGGTGTCTACTTTTGCTTTATAACATTCTTGTGAAGCACCATGTAAAATTTTAGTTACAATGAAAACATTATACTACGGCAAGTTGATATCATTCTGAGGACCTTGAAAAAAGGGTGGGATAATTGCGAGCACCACCTACGAACAGGCAATATTATGCACAAAGTCTAGATAAAGCGAAGTAACCACAATAGACTAATCCTGCAAAGCAGTGCACTACCTTTCACAGCTATAGAAAGGCAACTCACTAACTGCCCCCATACCTGCCTTGCAAACTAGGGGACCAGCATTTTCCAGTCTCTCCTGTCCCACCTGTTGATTTTTCCCTACATTTCATTGGTAGCTCTATTTTCTGTGGAGCATAACAGTTAGGGTTTTGTGTGTTGTCTAAGTGGTGCATGTCTGTCTGTGGGACCATGCATATTGACCCATTTGTGGCAGCAGTGAGGGGAGGTCTAACTGTCCTCTTGGGGGCTACGGGTATGTAGCTGTGCAGCTGATTGTCAGGCAGGTGTATACACAGATGTGCATCTGACTGACTTGTAGGGGTATACATATCTGACTTTCCTTGTGTGTGCATGTATGTCTGTCTGGGAAGGTATGTGTGGATGTGCAACTGTCTTGGATGTATGTGTATGCTTGCCCACATTGTCCACCTGTCTGAGGGGCGCAGGGTGGGGTGGTAGTGGTGTTTGCATGTCAGTCTAAGGGTGTGGCCATCAGACTTGTTAGGATGCTTCGACATCAGTCTGTCCACACAGAGGCGACAATGTGCATATGTTTGGCTGTCTTGAGGTGGGTGTGCAGAGACCTTTGGCACAGTTTAGGGGGGAGCTATGTTTGAACACATCCCACTATCAATGAGTTTGTGTGTATGTCTTCAGTGTTGCTAAGTGGTGATGTGTGTGCATCTGACTGGCTGGTGAGGGAATGTGTGCCTCTCTCTGACTGGCAGGAATGGGGGCCCGCATGGGCACCTAATTGTCTGCTGCCACATGCACATTTGCCTCAGGGGAAGCTGAGGGGAATGTATACACATTCTCCTTGAATGTCCAAGGGCTTGAGCCTGTATCTGTGTCTCTCAGGCTGCATCTGACTTACTGTGTGGGTCACATGCAGGCATATTTCTGACGTTCATTTTGTTTGGTGGTGGGGGGGTGCGGGGAGTTCTAATTATGCATGCTCATCTCTGACTTTCTTCTTGTGATGTATGCATCTGACTATCAGGGCTGGAGATGGGAAGAAGGGGTGTATCCCTAATTTGGGAGTACGCATGCCAGACTTTCCACGTATGTCTGGTGAATGTGGCCTGCCTCCTTGTTTAACGAGCTCCACTTACCTCAGAAGATTGCTATTTACTAATCTGTAAAAATGTACTGGTTTTATACATTCAGATTAAAACATCTTGTAAAATAAAAACTAATTTTAAGAATTTCAGCTGCTAAAACCCAATTATTTCTCTTTCTTTCGACCCAGGTGTGGTTTCGTACAAAAAAGGTGCGTCATTTATTTAACAATCTAGCCACATTTTTCAGGTCTTACCTGCAGATTCCAAATTAGTTTCACTGCAAGGGAGTGGTGTACTTTGCCCCAGCTTGACTTTGTAAACATATCCAGCAAGTAGCCAACTGATTAATGGGATACCATCCACAGGCCAAACACAGCTTGTTCATAATTTCTCTGAGCTTCCCTGTCAAAAGGACAAAAATGTTAATGGGTGGAGAGTAATCTGTGGAGGAGATATTCTTTTTGATTCCTTATCCATGGATTCAAACCACCTGATGGCAATGCTAACCTACTTAAGGCTAATTTGTTTCTGATGGCCATCAGATCTTACCCCAAATATTGTCTACCAGCCCTCCTTGCTGCAGTAGCTGTACTCATTTATTCGCTTTCAGTTTGTTGAAGCATGTTGAGCAATGCAACCTGCAAACAGTAACAGCCTCGCCTTTCAAACTAACCAAATCATATAGCTCACTGATGTGTAAGGCATTGCAGATTTCCTGGTGAAATGTTGGGATATAAATTGTGTGGTGGGGTTGTTAATCTTAGCTAGTCCCTCAAGACCAAGAATGACTTGAGTAACTGGCTCTTAGCAGAGAATCTCCGTCCCCTTGGGAACTTGGAGGTGTGACTAATAATGAGGAAGATGCTAATTAACTGTAACAAGAAAGGGCCAACCAATGACAGGTGGAATTTTGTTGAGAGATGGTAGGTTATGCATTTTGGCAGAAGGTTTTTATTTCATTCTTCCTGACAAAAAAAAGACTTGCTGTCAAACTTCCACTCATCAAGACAGAATAACACGTACACCAAATCTCAAAGGAATAACAATTATTACTATATGAAAAGAGAATGCTAATTGGCTCACAAGTGGACTCTAGTTGGTACAAGCATTGCCACAGCAAATGCATCAGGGAACAGTTAACTGTGAAGCTCTTGTTTAACTTCAAACAAGGCAAGTCGTTTCTGGTTCAGGTATTTCTGCAGAAATGCACCATTGAATAGCTGTTGCCCAAGCTCTAAAAGGTACAATGCGTGGACATGTTCTTTCTGTTTGAAAAGGACAAGGCCTCACATGTGAATATGTGTAGCCTCTAGCCTACATAAATGAGCCTGACTGTGTTAAGAATTACAGTAACAATCCAATTTAAAATTATCAGTTGGATTCGCTGTGCGACTCACTTGAAATTAATTGAACAACCTTTTTTTTAAGCAAAAAGGTGGTAGGAACTGTGAAAGATCAGAGAGATTTTAGTGTCCCTGTACAGAAATGATTGAAAACTAGTGGGCAAGTACAAAAGTAATCAAAAGGCTAATGAAATATTGGCCTTTATTTCAAGAAAACTGGAATACAAAAGTGAGCAATTGATGCCTGATAGAATTAAAACTGTTCAATCCCTTCTCAGAGCACAGTGTTTAGTTCTGGCAGCAATGCCCCTTATGTAATGCCACAACATGAATGGTGTTGCCCCAATATTTGGTGGCATGTATTTTAACAATGATATAAATAGAATTGGAAAGGAGGGAACTTGTATGGAAGTTGTACAACAATGAGTTGCACTACCTTCTCAAGTGCAGTTAGGGATAAGCAATCAATTTTGGACATAATCAGAGATGCCTGCTTCCCATGAAAGAATTTAGATAAGACTTTGCTTAGAGCACACTTAGATAACTATGAGCAGTTACAGTTCTGGTTTATATATTACAAAGAACATTTAAAAAAAAAACTACTGAGAATGTTTTCTCCAAAAAAGAGAATACTGAGGCATGATTGAAGTTTTTGTAAGTGAGGAAAGTTTGAAACGGCAGTTGTAGAGAATTGTTATCACTTGCAGTTAAGGTGAGAACTAAAGGTCGTGAGTATAAGACAGTCACCAATAATAAACTTAATCAGGAATTCAGCGGCAGCATCTTTACCCAGATGGCTGAGGCAATGCGATAGATGCATTGAAGGAGAGCTAGCCACATAATGGAGAAAGGAAGCAAAAACTGTTAGTGCAATTAGATGAAAAAAGGTGTTGTAAGTCCTGCGTAGAGCAGTTAGGCCGAACAACCTTTTTCTGTTCTGGCAGAACTTTGTAAACCACAGTTTGAGTTGTGCATTTGGTTGCTTTGGAAGATTTGTGGCATTTCTGAGGGGGTTGGGGGAATTCAAAATATAGAGATCCTTTGCCCAGTTTCTCCAGAAAATCTGTAATGTTCAGGCAACTCAATTTATTTGTGTAAATAAATTTGCTAATTACAGGCAGCCACTTGGAATGGTATAGATATGGAACAATAACTTTCCTTGCTGAATTCTTTGACTGTATTGCTCTGTTCTTCAATGTGTATAAAGGAAATGAAGTTGTAGAGTCTGTTCATGGCTGTTGCTTTAATGGTTAATGCTGCCATTGTCTTGCGATTTGGAGCTTGCAGCTTGCAAAATAAGTGCTGACTTTTCGTTTTCCCATTCTCTCTCTGCCTGCGCCTCTCTTGTCCTCACCCTGTACCCTTTCCCTTATCACTCTTCTTTTCCCTTTATTGGTTCTGCTTCCCTCTTTCTGTCCCCATGATTATTTCCTCCCATCTCCCAGGTTCAGTCAGTTCTCGGAGTCATTCCTTTGCAGATCCAGCCAGTAACCTTGGCCTTGAGGACATTATCAGAAAAGCCTTAATGGGAAAATATGACGATAAAGGAGAAGATCACCAAGTTGTACTGTCTCACCCTGTAAGTGCATCACAAGGCAACATGAGCACATCGATCCCTGTGTCCAGTGATGCTCGGAATGAGGAAGCCAATCCATCGCCTCCATCAGGTTAGTGTAATGGGATGAGGGAGAACCAGGTGCCCCATCGATTATGTTGTCAGAACTCTGTGAAATCCATATCAATCAAGCAAATTATCTTAATGTTCTACGTAGATGGCTTGCAGAGCAGCTTTACAGATCACACTTAGAATGAGTGGCTCAAAATGAATATTCATTCCAGTTATTCTAGAGCCCAGACTTTTAACTTGGATTCACTGAATTTGTTCTTTGGTTTAAACACCAAATGCTTTCCACCAAGTAATCAATTATTGATGTAGTTAATCGGGTTAGATCCTTCAATTCTGTTCCCAAAGTCTACCGACATTTCTGGCCAGGTAAAGATTTCGCAAATTTCTAGTTGTCAACTAGTTCCAGGAATGAATTCTCAAAGTAGCCTAACCTCTACCATTAGGACAAAGCTAGAGTCCATTATTAATGAGGAAATGTAGGACAGTTAGAACAACTTAACACAGTCAGACAGATTCAGGATGGTTTAGTAAAAGGAAAATTATATTTGACATTTGCTAGAGTTTTTTAAATAAAACAAAGCGTTGACAAAAAGAAACCAGTAGATGTAGTATATTTGGATTTAATAAGTGCCACGTGAAAGTTTATTGCCCAAATGGGAGCTTGCAGTATTGGGGATAATGTATTAGCATGGAGTGAGGATTGGCTAACACACAGAAGACAGGGAATCGGGATTAATGAATCTACTTCAGGTCATCAAATGTAACTAATGGAGTGCCACAAGGATCAGTCTTAGCACCTCTGTTATTTACTATCTATAATTAATGATTTGGAGAAGGAGGCAGAATGTAATTTATCCAATTTTTTTTACAAAACAACATAAGGTGGGTGGGTACTTGTAATGAGAACTGAAGGAATCTACGATATGGATAGGTCGAATCAAAAGGCAAACTATTACTCATGGAGAAAGACTTCAGAAAGGTGCAGCATAGAGGGATCTAGGTGTTCTTGTGTATAAAACACAAAAAGTTAACATACGGGTGCAGCGAGTAATTAAAAAGACAATTGGAATTTTGGTCTTTATTACTAGAGAGTTAGCATTTAATAATAGGCAAGACTTAGTGCACTTAGAATAGTATAAAGGAAGGCAGAGTATACTTAAGAGGGAAATCAGGAGGGCAAAAAGGGTACATGAGATACTCTGGCAAATAGGATTAAGGACAATGCAAAGGGATTCTACAAATACATTAAGGACAAAGGGGGAACTAAGGAGAGAATAGGGCCCCTTAGAGATCAGCAAGGCTGCCTATGTGTGGGAGATACTAAACTAAACAATTATTTTGCATCAGTGTTTACTGTGGAGAAGGATATGGAAGACATAGAATGTGGGGAAGTAAATAGCGACATCTTGAAAAATGTCCATATTACAGAGGAGGAGGTGCTGATCGGTTTAAAATACATAAAGGTGGATAAATCCCCTGCACCTGATCAGGTGTACCTTAGAACTCTGTGGGAAACTAGGGAAGTGATTGTTGGGCCCCTTGCTGAGATATTTGTATCATCAATACCCACGGCAAGGTGCTGGAAGACTGGGGGTTAGCTAACGTGGTGCCACTATTTAAGAAATGTGGATAAGGAAAAGCCAGGGAACTATAGACCGGTGAACCTGACATCAGTGGTGGGCAAGTTGTTGGGGGGAGTCCTGAGGGATGGGATTTACATGTATTTGGAAAGACAAGGACTGATTGTGGGTAGTCAACATGGCTTTGTGCATGGGAAATCATGTCTCACTAACATAACTGAGTTTTTTGAAGAACCGACGAAGAGGATTGATGAGGGCAGAGCGATGGATATGATCCTTATGGACTTCAGCAAGGCGTTTGGCAAGGTTCCTCCATAGTAGACTGGTTCGCAAGGTTAGATCACATGGAGTATCGGGAGAGCTAGCCATTTGGATACAGAACTGGTTCGAAGGTAGAAGACAGAGGGTGGTGTTGGGGGTTTGCTTTTCAGACTGGAGGTCTGTGACCAGCGGTGTGCCACAAGGATCAGTGCTGAGTCCACTGCTTTTCATCACTTATAGGAGGTAGGGTTAGTAAGTTTGCAGATGACACCAAAATCAGTGTGTAGTGGACACTGAAGAATGTTATCTCAGAGTACAATAGGATCTTGATCAGATGGGCCAATGGGCCAAGGAGTGGCAGAAGGAGTTAAATTTAGATAAATGTGAGGTGCTGCATTTTGGAAAGGCAAATCAGGGCAGGACTTGTACACTTAATAATAAGGTCCTGGGGTGTGTTGCTGAACAAAGAGACCTTGGTGTGCAGGTTCATAGTTCCTTGAAAGTGGAGTCGCAGGTACACAGGATAGTGAATAAGGCGTTTGGTACGCTTGTCTTTATTGATCAGTACATTGAGTGTAGGAGTTAGGATGACAGCTGTACAGGATATTGGTTAGGCCCCTTTTGGAATACTGTGTTCAATTCTTGTCTCCCAGCTATAGGAAGGATGTTGTGAAACTTGAAAGGGTGCAGAAAAAACTTACAAGGATGTTGCCAGGATTGGAGGGTTTCAGCTACACAGAGAGGCTGAATAGGCTGGGGCTATTTTCTCTGGACTGTCAGAGGCTGAAGGGTGACCTTACAGAGGTTTATAAAATCATGAGGGGCATTGATAGGGTAAATCACCAAGGTCTTTTGCCCATGGTGGGGGAGTCCAAAGCTAGAGGTCGTAGGTTTAAGGTGAGAGTGGAAAGATTTAAAAGGGACCTAAGGGACAACTTTTTCACAAGAGGGTGGTGCATGTATGGAATGAGCTGCCAGAGGAAGTGGTAAAGGCTGGTACAATTACAACATTTAAAAGGCATTTGGATGGGAATATGAATAGAAAGGGTTTAGAGGGATATGGCGCAAATACCGGCAAAAGGGACTAGATTTATTTAGGATATCTGGTCAGCGTAGATGAGTTGGACACAAAGGTCTGTTTCCATGCTGTACAACTCCATTACTCTGTCATAATGTTGCACCTAGTGCTGTGTCTCCAGTCTTGGTCCATGCATTTAATGAAGGAAATACTGGCAGTAGAGGCATTTCTAAAGAGATTCACTAGGCTGATTCCTGGGATGAAGCGGTTAACTTATCAAGAATGGTTAACAGGTTAGACTATTATTCTGTAGAGTTTAGAAGATTGAGGGGAAGATCTTATTGAAATATACAAGATTCTGTGGGGGCTTGACAGGGTAGCTGTGTGCTTCTACTAATGGGAAAATCTAAAACTATAGGACATAGTTACAGAATAAGAGGACACTTATTTGTGACTTGGCAGCAACAAAACTCCCATGAAAGCTGCAGATGGTTATAAAATGTCCACACTCCATGTGGTCAAACCCACATTACCCCAGACCCCCGCCCCCACCATCCCTGGCAGTGTCATTCGCATCCAGCAATTTTTAAAAATGCCATCAGTAATAAAATAGGTGACCAGTTTAATGGTGATTTGTTGAAAATTTGTCATTTTTCATGCTTCTTCCTATTTCTGTTCAGCATGGAGGGTATTGATCCATCAGCCAGGGGCGGAGTGGGGGAAAGACTGGGTAGTAATCAGCAGGTGGGTTCCTTGCCCATTTTCATTTGATGCCACAGACTTCATGGGTAAGAATCAATGTTGAGAACTCCCAGGGCAACTTCCTCCTAAATGTATACTGGTTTGTTGCCACATATTGTGGGTGTGTCCTGCTGGTTGGATTGTGGTGTCTGAGGCATTGTCTGTAATGTATCATTCTGTGATTATGACTGTTAGGCTGTTTGACTGGTCTTTGAGATGGCTCTTCCAATTTGGCACAAGTCTCTAGATATTCATAAGAAAAATTCTTTTTGTTGTTGTTTCTGGTGCCTAGGTTGGTGCTGGGTGGTTCATCCAATTACATTCCTTTTCTTAAGATTTTGTAGCAGCTTGATACAACGGAATAACTTGCTAAGCAAATTTTGAGGGCAGTTAAGAGCCAGCCACATTGCAGTGCATATGGTATCATATGTAGACCAGACTAGGTAAGGATGCCAGATTCCCTTCCCCAATTGATATGAGTGAAACACATGGGTTTTTGCAATAATCAACAATGGCTTCTCGGTCACCATGAGTTTAGCTTTTAACCTATTTTTCTAATCAACCTGTTGCATCTGTTTAAGATTCTTATGAAGATTTGTAGGTCGGCTTGTGGATGAGGTTGTTGGCTTTGTCGCTGGGCTGGCTGGTTATCGTACATTGTTCCATCTATTTTTGAATCAACCTGTTTAGAGATGTTATTACACACCACCAGAACAGGTGGGACTTGAACCTGGCTCAAAGGCAGGGATACTACCATGGCACCACAAGAGCCCTAAGCCAATAAATGACTTCTGTTTTTCTAATCAACCTGTTTAGAGATGTTATTACACACCACAGGATCAGGTGGGACTTGAACCCAGGCCTCTCAGTCCAGGGATACAGATACCACTGTGCCACAAGAGGGCCCCTAGGTTAGCTTTGAATTCCACATTTATTAATTGAATTCATATGTCACAATCTGACTGGTGGATGTAAATCCACGTCCCCAAGCATTTGCCACCGCCCTTTGAATTAATAGTCCAGTTACCACTACAGTTCTGCTTTCTGTTGAACCAAACTCTTGCATCGAGTCTCGTTTAGTACCCACTTACCTTTCCATCTTGGCTCTCAAGTCTGCGTTCCTGTAGTTATTTCTCTGTGAACTGTTTTGGGCCATGCTTTACAAAGATAAGTACATGTAGAGATATTAATGCATGGATGTATTATGACACTTAAAACAAAAATAAAAATTATTGTGTGGCGTGGTCACATTTTGTTTTCAGTTTATGAACAGTATAACCTAAAAACATCTCAAAGTAAAGAATGTGGATTAACTGCTTCATGTTTTGTTGCACAGGCTCAACTGCGTTCCCTTATAACCCGCTGACAATGCGCATGATGAGCGTAGCACCAACTTCAATCGCCTGTGCACCACCAGCCATGGGTCAAGCCAGCTCACATCCTCCAGCCAGGACGTGGGAGCGCGAGCCAGCTCCCTTACTCTCCTCCCAATATGAGACATTATCAGATAGTGATGACTGAATACACTGCCCTGGCTACGGTTTTAGTAGTTGTTTCAGGCCTGCAGACCACAGACAAGAAACTCTCCTCGAGCCCGGCTCACCGAGTGCTGAAGGAAAGGAGGGTTTGCTCACATAGGCAAATGCAAAGCAGTGTTAAGTCCTCAGATGAGCAGATGCTGGGTGGAGAAGAAATCGTGATCACAGATGCTCATGTAGAATTCACAAGAAAGACACTTCCTGCTCTTCATTTGTTTGTTTAAAAACTGTCTTTAAATCATTCTTGTGTAATATAGAGTACTGTACCATTGTATCATGCTACCAATCTTACATTTTAAAAGATCCTGAAATGGTGAATTGACTGTTGTAAACACAGGAATTTCCCACCAGTGAGGTGAGCCCGAGTGACTGGTATTCCATATTCGTTGTAAATTAAGTTCCATTTTGTCTTTAATTATTTAGCAGCAGTGCTAAGATATTAATGCATGGATGTATTATGATTCATTGTAAAACAAAAGAATTGAAGGGAGCATATAACCTGGTGTATATGGGCTCAGGAAGGGGCCTAACCCAGTTACTGTGCACAACAATCACCCAAAGGGAATGCCTTTTGCCTCCACCTCATGCTTTTCCCTTAATTATTTCAGTCATCTCTCCAACAAAACAAAATACTATTTTAAAGTTTTGGGAAATGTAAGCAGGTCTTAATGTTGCTTCCACAAGTTCTTGTGAGAAAGGAGTGAAGGAATTTCTAATTTCTGAGAATGTTTAGTAGTTACAATGAAAGTAGATATCCAACATAGAAAATAACAAAGTTCTCAGTCACTGGTGTTCTGTTGTCATGCAGTCTTGACACTCGTGACCTGCAGGAGTCTGAGCTTCTGCTGTATTCACAGAACATTGTGGGGTTTCAGTGTCAGATTCCTGCACTATGGGAATATGTTCCACAACTGCAGAACTGCATGTGAACATCAAAATGGATAGGCAGTAAAAATCTGAATGGAGGAATTGGTAAGAGTTTGCATTACTAATTCCAAACATTACTGAGATTGCTGCTCTGGTTGGCTACAGATCATTGGTCCCAGTGGAATAAATGCACTAAATTCAGCTTTAAATCCTTTGACTGTAAGGTGTGCAGCTTTTGAAATGCATGTTTATTTTCTTTCCTGATTCCCAAAAAACCCTGTAAATTCTTTTGATGCTGAATGTTACACAGTAGAAATTGAGGCAGCTCCACAAATGATTCCTTGGAATGGAATTATGTCATCACATTATTTTCCTTTGTCTAGGCCTGCGGACAGCCCTCAAAGCACGACACTTGCCTCCAACAGAATTCTTATTTCATTGTTGCACTTTTGTTGTAACTGCAGTCCCCCTTCCTGCCAAATAGCCACTCCAGGCTAACCTCTACCTTTTAAAATAGCTCGCCATTCCAGAACCACAACACATTCATGTAAATGTTTATTGAACTAAAATAAAGATGGCATCTGATTTCAGTCTTTTAAATTGATTCATTTTACTTTGATCATTTCTCGAATAATGTTGTGATTTTATACATGTATCATCTGCAACAATCATATGATTCTTTTGTGGGTGAGAGATTCTTTTAGTGTCAATGATGGCAGAATGGAAATTGGGGGCAGCTTGGAAGAGGCTACAGTGTCATGGAGAGTCCTGTATTGGATAGGGGAGCAGTACTGGGTTGTTGAGAGGGGGGAGAAGGGGAAGCAGGAGTCTGTAATAGGGTGGGGGGCTGCGGAGGAGACTATTTCAGAGTGTTAGGGTAAGGGAGTATGAGGGCAGGAGTTGGACAGTGAGCTCCAGTTGCCAGTGATTGGAGTAGGGGTGATATTGAGATTATGACAGGCAGCAGTGGAGGTGGGGTCAAAGGAGACTGGGCGTGGGGCTTATGTTGTCGACGTATCAGGAACAGCCGCATGACGGGGCCGGGGCGCAGAGAGTGCTGGGAGATGTAGTCGTAGTTCCAGTTGGAGACTACATGTACCAGAATACTGTGCGCGGGACCGGAGACGTTGGGGTCTGGGATCGTCGAGGCGGATCGAATATTAAACGGAGGAATTGAGGTGAAGCAACAAAGTTTTGAAACAGATATGACAAATTGATTGTTGTGAATTAAGGGTAGGTAAAGAATTCCTGTTAGTCTGCCTTGTGCCCAGAGGCGCCGCCTGTAGAAGATTTCTCTATTTGTGGTTCTCGGCCCCAACAAACCGGCAACTTACCCGCAACAGACACTTTCACCGTCCCGGGGCACCCCCACACCCCCCCCGGGC